AACATCGTGACTTTCACCTGAAAGTTGAAAGAACATCGTGACTTTCACCTGAAAGTTACAAGAACATCGTGAATTTCACCTGAAAGTTAAAAGAACATCGTGACTTTCACCTGAAAGTTGAAAGAACATCGTGACTTTCACCTGAAAGTTAAAAGAACATCGTGACTTTCACCTGAAAGTTAAGCGAATATCGTGACTTTCACCTGAAAGTTAAACGACCATTCATTATGAAGAAGACTAAAATAAAGTGCATTAAAATAAGAAAAACGAGAGTTTCTGATGAATAATGTGCTTGGGGATTAAATTAATTAAAATGCGTCACTCTCACTCGCAAAAATTGTGAACTTCTTGACAATATCGCATCACATTTTAAATCAAGAGCCATGACTAGAGAATACCTGAATTTCATCAATCTAACCGCATTAATTTAACCTTAAACTTATCGAATTCATTGCCGTTTGGGCAAGTTATTCAACTTAGATTCATTGAAAGGCAACAATGGTTTACGATTGAATTGAAAATTGGTGGATAATCGGCTATTGCTTCACGCTCCAAGCATTGATACGTAAATCTATTGATGTATATCAATATACATTTAATTAATAAAGTATATGTCCGAAGTCGATCAGGCGTCTCATTCTATTCATTATAATTATATTCCAAAATTAGATCATCTGTAATAAATACGTGATATTCACTAAAAGTGGAAAAGATTGATGGAAATACTAGACTCTGAGTCAGCATGTACAACATCACGTGAGCATTACCGTACTGGTAGGCGGAAGTACATAAGTAAATATATTATATGTTACATATAAGTGGGCAGAAGTATATTATAAGTCTATAAAAGGGCTGGGAACTTTAATAAGTCCCCCAGTAGTTAGCAAGACCGTCGCGATGTAGCACTTTTAAAAGCTACTTCGATTTAAGGTTCGAAGTCTTAGGCTATATTTGTCTGTATCTTGTATATAATACCCCGTATTAAGATGATTTTAAGTAATAACCACCCGTATAAGTAATAACCACCCCGTATTAAGATGAGTTTAAATATAGAAGAGTTTTTACTGTATCTGTAATGACTGATGTATAACCACCTCGTATTAAGATGAGTATAATATAGAGAAGTGTTTTTACGGTTTCTGTAATAACTTGTGTATAACCACCCCGTATTAAGATGAGTTTAATATAAATAAGTGTTTTTACTGTATCTGTAATGACTCATGTATAACCACTCTGTATTAAGATGGATTTAACATAGATAAGATTTTTACTGTATCTGTAATGACTGATGTATGACCACCCCATATTAAGATGAGTTTAATATAAAGAAACGTCTTTACTTATCCCTCATTCACTTATTCAATGAAACCCTTTTCTCAGCTTCAGGTTGAACACATACTATTAACCAGGTGGCGCTTAATTAATATTGCCCCCTAAAATAAATATTAATTAATAACTCTTCCTTTGCCACGACTTCTTAACATGATGAATTTAGACTTGATGCAATTAATAATAAAAATATCAAGTAATAAAGTCCCTTAAATTAATTTTCGAAAGTAATTAATAACTGGAATAAATTAATGCTTGCCAGGACTTACCATGATGAATTTAGACTTGATGCAATTAGCACTAAAAAATGTCAAGTAATAGTCTCTTGAATTAATTTTCGAAAGTAATTAATAATTGGAATAAATTTATGCTTGCCACGACTTAAGATGATGAATTTAGAATTGATGCCATTAATACTAAAAAATCAAGTAATAGTCTCTTGAATTAATTTTCGAAAGTGATTAATGAATGAGAACTTTTCGTATAAACTTAAAACTTAAAACTACTTAAACTTAATGCACTCACGCTGCCTTTGCTGATGATGTAGAATGTGTCGCCGCACGCGCCCTGCCTGATGACGTACGTACCGGGGCTGTAGTACGTCTGTAATGAGTACACTCATTAGTGTGATGAGTACACTCATTAGTGTGACGTGTACACTCATTAGTATGATGTGTACACTCATTAGTGTGATGTGTACACTCATTAGTGTGACGTGTACACTCATTGGTGTGATGTGTACACTCATTAATGTGATGTGTACACTCATTAGTGTGATGTGTATTTATCGTCCGATTTAAATTTTAAATCGTCCGAATTATTGTCCGATTATAATTATCGCACGATTATAATTATCGCACGATTATAATTATCGCACGATTATAATTATCATACGATTATAATTATCGCACGATTATAACTATCGTACGATTATAATTATCGTACGATTAGGATTATCGTATGATTAGGATTATCGTACGTTTATAATTATCATACGATTATAATTATCGCACGATTATAATTATCGCACGATTATATTTATCATACGATTATAATTATCGCACGATTATAATTATCGCAGGATTATAACTATCGTACGATTATAACTATCGTACGATTAGGATTTTCGTATGATTAGGATTATCGTACGTTTATAATTATCATACGATTATAATTATCGCAGGATTATAACTATCGTACGATTATAACTATCGTACGATTAGGATTTTCGTATGATTAGGATTATCGCACGATTATAATTATCATACGATTATAATTATCGCACGATTATAACTATCGTACGATTATAACTATCGTACGATTAGGATTATCGTATGATTAGGATTATCGTACGTTTATAATTATCATACGATTATAATTATCGTACGACTATAATTATCGTACGATTATAATTATCGCAGGATTATCGCAGGATTAGAATTATCGTATGATTAGGATTATCGTACGTTTATAATTATCATATGATTATAATTATCGTACGATTAGGATTATCGTACGATTATAATTATCGCAGGATTAGGATTATCGTACGATTATAATTATCGTACGATTATAACTATCGCAGGATTAGGATTATTGATAGATTATAATCATCGCAGGATTATCGCAGGATCATCATTTACCTCCTCTAGGACGTCTGCAATTTTGATGAGTTTCTCCTCGTTGAGAGCTGTGAAGGTCGGCACGCTGCGGACATATAAATGTATTTCATTAACATTCATTTAGAATTCATTGATATTTAGAATTCATTGACATTTTACAATAAATACAAGTGGATAATTAAATAACTTGCGCTTGTTATACAAAAAATATGAGTAAATATATGAGTAATTAGCTTTTATTTTGCATAAAATTAGCGAAGAATATACGGTATGATTCATTGAGCTCTAAAACATATTAACTATATTAATGTAAAGAATGGAGAATGAAATTAGTTATTCGCTGAAATTGAAATTAGCAGAAGTAATAAAAATATTTATTGCAAAATGGCTAATTAGATTGATTTATCGATGGTTAAACTACGGAAAATATTTTTTTTTACTCAAAGGGATTGTGAGAATTTATTGCAACATTAAAATGAATCAAAACTTGAATACAATTCATTACAGTTGGACAATCCTTCAAACGTTGTTATTGTGTATACCTTGTATGTATACATGTATAAAGAATCCATGTATACACCGTCCAGTCCATATGATGTCATGCAAAGTAATTATGCACCCTATATGTAACGTAGAACAAAAGCGCAGTAGGTAATAAAGTGCAGTAAGTTACCCTATACATGGCAGTAAGTTACCCTACATGGCAGTAAGTTACCCTAGATGGCAGTAAATGTGGCCGCAATCTAAGGGTGGCAAGGCCAATGTGGCCAAATATGGCCAATAAAAAAAATGTCGGGCCGCAAAACGGCCTTGGCAGTGGCGGAAACAACTCATAGACTGTTGTACATTTGGACAATTCTGTGGCTATGGGGAAAATGACATCAACACTAATAAACACTACGCCATTTAGCCAAGCCAAACTGAGTCAAAATGACCCACTTACGACCCACTTATCGAATAAAATCTTGAAATAATTTTCGAAAATTGCGCCAGCAAAAAAAATCGATGGCTTGCGAGGTGGACTGAGAGCCTGGGAAATTTTTTAAATCAATTTTAACAGTAGAACAAATAAATTTTTAACCGTTGATGCATTGAACTTATAGAGGAAATCATCGAGAGAAATGATGGAAGCACTAAATATTAAATAATAGCAATACTAAATGATAAATAAAAGCAATACGAAATATTAAATAATAGCAATAATGAAACTGCAACAGCATCACGACACTCTCATTAACAGCTACCCAATTTCTGACATCGCAATATAGGCTATATATACAGGCAATAGCTGTAACAGCTACCACAACAGTAGCTACAACATGAACAGCTACTGCAACAACAGCTATAACAACAGATACCGCATCTGTAACTTCAACATTAACACCTGCCACATCAGTAGCTACAGCAACAAATAATATCCACAAGAACAGCAGAAACCACCATACCAACAACAACAACAGCAGCTACAACAGGTACAGCTACAACAGCTACAGCTACAACAGCTACAGCTACAACAGCTACCACAACAGTAGCTACAGCAACAGTACCTACAGCTACAACAGCTACAGTTTTAACCGCCCCAGGCAGAGAGGCGGTGGCCGAGCCTGCGATGGCTGCGCTAATATGGGTTAAAACAACCCTTGCTTTGTGTTAAACATGTTTTGATACATGTATACTCCGTCATGTATGATAAAAGAAATTCATTCATGAATTACCGTGTGTGATGAATTTTTCTATGAGGAATGCAGATTTGCATTGATCAGCCTTCACCGAGAAAAATTAACGAGACTTTGTCCGAACTTTGATGCACTCAAGTCCTTATGTGGATCTTATGTGCATCAAAGGACGTCATCTGACGTCCTTTTTCTTCCAGAAAAAGGACGTATCAGTGTTACACATAGCAAGCGTGCCACAATTTGGACAATATGACTCATAAATTGTTTTCAGTGCTGACACCAACGAAGGCAAATGGAAGCTAACAAACAAAAATCAATTTTTCAACGAATATTTCAATTAAAATTCCCAGTTCGAAATTCTCGCAGTCATTGCGGCCGTTCGCCGCAGAGACGTTCGCAGACGCGCAAATCTAGGCCGTTGTTGCCGACTTCACCTCGCGTCCAAGCAGTCTAGCGATGATATGGCCTCATCTGCCTCGAACAGCGCGAGGCCTCGGTCGGCAAAAGCTGCGGCAGGCAACTTGCCGCAGATCTACCGCGGCCTACGTCGAATATGCCGGCGGTAACGGTTCAAGCTTTGAGGAGGCAGGGAGAGGAAGGGGGTGAAGGGTGAGGAAGGCGGAGGAATATTGAAAGAACCTTCTAGGCATGAATATTCGTGTGGAGCTTATACCGGAAGAAACGGATTGAATTATTCTTTTATTTGATTTCTCTAAAATTATGAGGTTTACATGATTTTTTATTTTCTACATTTTTTAGTTTCGACAGTTTTATTCTATACTACAGCGAATCAATGTCGCCAGTATTTGTGAAACTAGTTCCATCCAGTATTATGTGTATTCAGTTAATTGACATAAATTCGATGAAAAACGCGAAATCAGTGAATGATCTGAAAGTAATAAATAAAAATATATGCACAAAATAATAGATATACCAAATGAACGCCAAACGGTAACGAATACGACTGAACGTATTGCAGAACTCGCATGCTTCTCAAATGCAAGTAACTGCCCTGCGCATGCGCGGGCCGCGCTGCGCAGTGGGCATGCGCGGGAGAGTCTACGCTCTAGCGTCTATACTATACTGGTGCAGGAAGTACCGTGGGTGTGTGTTGCAGTGAACACGAAAGAATTCGGTTAATTTTGGATAAATATTGGAGGTAAGGAACAGAAAAACGTCAGAATTTACGGTATTTGTATATTTATACGGTTTAAGGTCTCATGCGCAACTGTCATGGGGAAATTTTGGTTACTGCAAGTCATGAAACTGCTTTTCGTTAAGGATTCATCTCCAGCCTAAGTCTTACTGTATTGCTATCGAAAGGAACGCTTGCGGCTTGTCTTTTGCCTCCGTTGCTAATCCACTCGACTCTAGTTAAACGTCGTTGCGCTGGGGCGAGCGTTGGCGCAGGCAAGTTCACCCGCGGCTGGCTTCCAGACTGCGGCGATTTCTGACTGGGTTGTTAACACATTGATAAAAATGTTCTTGTTCGTATATTTTAGTCCGTCTTTTAACCACGTTTATATCAGACTCAACAAAATTACACTTTAAATAAAGTTAAAAGTATTTCCGAAACAACCAATTTAAGTGACGTCGAGTCATGATATATACAAATTCTCTAACTTAGCATCGTAAGTTCTCTTAATAATAACTAAACCAAGAACTTCATGACTTAAGGCGCCAATAATAAAGACTTCAAGTTCCCCTAAAGGCCACGTCAAGGCCACATTTCGATCTCGTTGCCCTTGAGAAATTGGAATGAAAGCTAAAAAACCGTCCTTGTTCAGTTGCAAATAATGGCGTGAAATTGAAGGCCGCCGACCAACGGACATTCAGTGACCATCTCAGACAATCCATACGAGACGACCAATACACTGAATAATGTATTAAACAGGGGGATTATTATACAATTATATTAATCAGGGATTATCCAACTGCTTAATGGCATGGAAATTGAAGGCCGCCAACCAACGGACATTCAGTGACCATCTCGGACTAGTCATACGAGACAACCAATTTGCACTGAATTATTAAATAATAGCAATAATGAAACTGGGGATTAAACGGGCAAACGGGATTAAACGGGATTAAAACGGGGGATTATTATACAATTATATTAATCAGGGATTATCTCACTGCATGTGGATGCATAACATAGCAACCATTACAACTATATAACATAACTGTTGTTGTTATGGTAGCTGCTGTTGTTATTGGTATGGTAGCTGCTGTTTTTGTTGGTAAGGTAGCTGCTGCTGTTGTTGTTATGGTAGCTGCTGTTGTTGTTGTTATGGTAGCTGCTGTTTTTGTTGGTAAGGTAGCTGCTGCTGTTGTTGTTATGGTAGCTGCTGTTGTTGTCGTTATGGTAGCTGCTGTTGTTATAGGTATGGTAGCTGCTGTTGTTGTTGGTATGGTAGCTGCTGTTGTTGTTGGTATGGTAGCTGCTGTTGTTGTTGGTATGGTAGCTGCTGTTGTTGTTGGTATGGTAGCTGCTGTTGTTGTTGGTATGGTAGCTGCTGTTGTTGTTGGTATGGTAGCTGCTGTTGTTGTTGGTATGGTAGCTGCTGTTGTTGTTGGTATGGTAGCTGCTGTTGTTGTTGGTATGGTAGCTGCTGTTGTTGTTGGTATGGTAGCTGCTGTTGTTGTTGGTATGGTAGCTGCTGTTGTTGTTGGTATGGTAGCTGCTGTTGTTGTTGGTATGGTAGCTGCTGTTGTTGTTGGTATGGTAGCTGCTGTTGTTGTTGGTATGGTAGCTGCTGTTGTTGTTGTTATGGTAGCTGCTGTTGTTGTTGTTATGGTAGCTGCTGTTGTTGTTGTTATGGTAGCTGCTGTTGTTGTTGTTATGGTAGCTGCTGTTGTTGTTGTTATGGTAGCTGCTGTTGTTGTTGTTATGGTAGCTGCTGTTGTTGTTGTTATGGTAGCTGCTGTTGTTGTTGTTATGGTAGCTGCTGTTGTTGTTGTTATGGTAGCTGCTGTTGTTGTTGTTATGGTAGCTGCTGTTGTTGTTGTTATGGTAGCTGCTGTTGTTGTTGTTATGGTAGCAGCTGTTGTTGTTGTTATGGTAGCAGCTGTTGTTGTTGTTGTTGTGGTAGCTGCTGTTTTTGTCGGTATGGTATAGCTGATGTTGTTGTTGTTATGGTAGCAGCTGTTGTTGTTGTTGTTGTTGTGGTAGCTGCTGTTTTTGTTGGTATGGTATAGCTGATGTTGTTGTTGTTATGGTAGCAGCTGTTGTTGTTGTTATGGTAGCTGCTGTTGTTGTTGTTATGGTAGCTGCTGTTGCTGTTGTTATGGTAGCAGCTGTTGTTGTTGTTATGGTAGCTGCTGTTGTTGTTGTTATGGTAGCAGTTGTTGTTGTTGTTGTTGGTATGGTAGCTGCTGTTGTTGTTGTTGTTATGGTAGCTGCTGTTGT